GAGATCTAGGTCAGCCAGAGCTAAACAGTTAGTGAAACTCCGTTTCAATAAATAAATAAATAAATAAACCAAACAAACAAAAAACAAAAAATAATTCACAGCATTAGAAATACAAACAAAACAAAAAATAATTCACAACATTAGAAATATAAGTTTCTTAAAAAGTTAGAAAATTTCTGAAAGAAAATTAAAATTATAGAAATGTGGCAGTTAACTGATAACCAGAAAACCTCAAAAGAAAAAGACATTCAGTATCGCTTTCCATGTATCAGCAATACATAAGTCCATTACTGGCATGAGTCTGAAGCAAAAGCACACAACCTAAAATTAACATCAAAAACTTCAATATTCCATTCTATGTCTAAGAAAATATTTTATAGAATGTATACAAAGATTAAAGGTATATGCATATGTATCTTCTGGGAAACATTTATTTAAAGAAATCTAGAAACTATTGTTAAAGAGAGACATGGCTAAATTAGTGTAGATCTGTAACACAGCATCAAAAAAACTGAACCAAAAGTGCTTTCCCAAACAGATACCTAAATGGGAATTGCTAAATGGGATTTTGCTGCTGAATGGGAGTTGGAGAGGTATTTTAGCCAGTAACATGCTGCTGCATCACTACAAATTCCCACCACTCAAGCAAAAGCTGGATACAACAGCAAGGGCCTACAATCTAGTGCTAGGGAAGGAAGATCATGAGGGCCTGTTGGCTTGTTTGTTTAGCCAAAATGGCATGTCCATGTTCAGTTAGTAAGAGACTTTGTCTCAGCCAGGTAGTGGTCACCCAAGTCTTTAATCTCAACACTCTGGAGACAGTGGCAGATGGGTCTCTGTGAGTTCAAGACAGGCCTGTCTACAAGGCGAGTCCCAAGACAGCCAGGACTGTTACACAGAGGAAACCTAGTAAAGTATGAATTTTTGCTGCTAATGTCATTCACAAATCATTCACAGATCTCATTTTTGTCTCGAAAAAACAAAAATGAGAGACCTACCTGGTCTCAAAAAAATAAGGTGGAAATTTCTGATGTTGACTTCTGGTTACTATACATGCCACAAGTGTGAACAGACTGCTGATACATGCAAACACACACACACACACACACACACACACACACACACACACTGCTAAATGAACAACCACAATGAAAAGTACAACTATACTACCTGCAGTTATTAACAAAAATGAATACAAAGACTGTAAAATAAACTGATGAACCGTTTTCCGCTTATCTAGGGGACTAGGGGAGTGGGGCTTGAACATTAGACACTCTGGGTGAAAAGAGGGAATAAACATCTCCTTATCTACTTTTTTTTAAATGACATTAAGTACTTACAATTTAATATAATTGTTTACCTTCTTTTGAAGACGGAATCTCTTCATAGCTCAGGCTGACCCAGAATTCATATATAATCCAGGCTGGCCTCATGATCCTACCTCAGCCTTCTAAGAGCTGGGATTATAGACTATACGCCAGGATACTCAGCTGGCTAATTTCATTTTTAAAAGCAATGAAAGTTAGAATTTTTTAAAAGAATTAAGACAGAAACCCATAAACTTACTCAATTTTTCACCCAGCATGTGAAGTATTTCCAGCACCAGCCAATGGGTATCCAAGTAGAGATGTAATAAATGCCACGATGGTGGGAAGATCTGTGAATGACATTAGCAGCAAAAATTCATATTTTACTAGGTATTTTACACATCAAGAAAACTCCTCCACACACAGATATAGAACCAATTAACGATCCAAGTCTCAGAAAAATTGTCTTGATTAGAGAATTCTCACTGGAGATCCTTGAAAGGATAATATCTTTTACTTGCTGGTTTAATACAGAAACATTACTCAGATGACCAAATAGATTGAGGCAGTATAGACCACTAATTCTACTTAGCTACAAAGCCATAAAGGAATCTTAAGATACAGTTTTTGCTTTAGAAATTAGCTAACAAATAATTCTTTAATGTTGTGAGTGAATAGAAACCATAAAATATAAAAAAGAACTTCAGACTATCATGCCAATCACATATAGTCATCCTCATTACGAAATGGAAGTTGACCAGGCAGTGGGGGCACACGCCTTTAGTTCCAGCACTCAGGAGGCAGAGGCAGGAGGACCTCTATGAATTCAAAGACAGCCTGGTCTATAGAGCGAGTTCCAGGACAGCCAGGGATGTTACAGACAAACCCTGTCTCGAAAAATTTAAAAAATAAAAAATAAAAAAAGAGAGAGAAAGCAAAAGAAGTTGACAAAGGTAAAAATTTTTCTCTCTCAATTCATGATTGAGTATTAAAAACTCAATTCTATCAAACTCAAGTCAAAAACTTTAGCTCTATGCAACATTAAGTATCACAGTAAAACAATAATTATATTTAACAAGTTCCACTGAAATTCCCACAAACAAATGATGAAGAATTTCAGATATACAAACACAAAAGTGCTAGACTAATAAATAACAGTGGCTCAGAGAGAGATAACAAGCAGCACAAATAGGGAAGGATAAATAAAACATTTTAAATCAATGAGGGAAATGTAATCAATTAAAAGAGTTATTACATCCATTTACAGAAACTAGTATTGGATTCTATCTCCCTATATATTTTTTAATTATTATGTATATGGCTGTTGTCTGGATGTATGTATATGCACCATGTGCATGCCTAGTGACCACGGAGACCAAAAGAAAACATGAGATCCTCTGGAACTGGAGTTACAAATGCCTGTGAGCCATCATGTGGCTGGGAATCAAACCCAGCTTTCTGGAAGAGCAGCTTGCTCTTAACCTC